AACTACCTTCAATAACAGTAATGTACCAGACCCTGGGCCAGCAACCTTCACTGAAATGTGTGTCCATTGTAGTTTTCTAACAAGCAAATAAAACCGGTTTACCTACATATTGCTAGAAATTTGATCTGATCTGAAGGTCACTTTGTATCAAGGGAGCAATAAACAAAAAAACAAGGCAGGAATTTTCATTCACGGCACTAAATGGACAATCAATTCTCCTTTAGGAGACTGCGAGCTGTTCGGATCACGAGCACGAAGGATACATAAAACTCAAGGGGGTGGAGGGTACAATTTATGCAATGGTGTTTCACATGAGCAGCGGGAGGTTGTGTCTCAGACCTGGTGCTCAGTTTCTTTGGGTGGATACAAATTCAAACACCTAATCTGACTTCAACTAAGAAAGTATTATGTGATAATTTAAACAGGAGAATGAATATTTCCAGGCTTCCCTCATGAGCAATCTTTAGCCGTGAAGTCATGCCAATAGAATGAAGTCATCCATTCTTTTCCCAAATCCCAAAACAGATTCTGCAGCAGAGCTTAGAGCTAGTTTGGTTCTCCCTCGCTTCTCTTTCCCCCATTCATTCTCCCACCAAGACCCATGGGATTTGCTCTACCCCACCTCACCCTAAATTGGCTTAACTCTCTCCACACCTCCACAATAAGCACACAATGTAAATACAAGGCACAATTCCAAGTTTGCCATAACTGTACACCAACGGAATATATAAAGCACACTTCATTAAAAAGGTTTTATCACCAGATTGGTTTAGTACCTCAGCCCAGAGTATACAATAAGCAAACTTCATACAACAACTTTATCACGCAGGTTGGCTTTTGTACAGATCAGATGTGAACATGAGGATTGATCATTGAAGTCAAGGGTTGAATCGAAATGAATACCTGAACGTTACAGCACAGGTATCATTTAATTCTGCGAGTCATCTTCCAAGCTATCACCATGAAAAAATGGCTGGTAAGAAACCCAAATTCACTCCAAATATTTCCCATTCAAAGTTTGAATGTTTCAATGTTTCAATCATGGAGACACTCAGGAAATTTCCCAAATAGCCAGTCCACCGCTGTTTCTGGACAAAACAAAATCTACTGCCCACCACCCACATTCCTGCAGCTTGCGGTCATTACTAACAGCATTCAAAATAACATTTGACAGTACGAATGGAGTCTGTGAACAGAACAAAACCCACTATCAAAATTCTGATATCCTGTGGGAAAGTGAAGCAAAATCATGTCCTGCACTGAACATTTTCATAATTAAAGCAATAATATGACAAAGATCAATAATTGCCTAGTCTTTCACCACCCAATGACAATAATGAGAATGAGATACCAGCTAGATCTTCTCTTAAAAAATTAAAAGTTAAATATTTGAATAACACCAATTTGCTTTTGGCATTTAGAACCTTGCATTAGTGTTTGTATTAATGTTAGAAAACAGGATTAAAATAGCAAATTCTGAGAAATATGTATCGTCTAAAACACAAAGGATTATTATATCCTGGGAAATATCCTACACTTCCTCCCTCCCTAATCTGCTATCTGGATATAAGGCACATATTCTGAAAAGTGCACCCACTGAGGAGAGAAGTGATGATCCAAATTTTACAATCAAATATAGCTACATTTAAAATCAAGACCTATACACAGGCTCTGTGTAAACATGCTTTGAAAAGTCTTGTATTTAAGCAAGGAAAAGACACACGGTGAATTGGGCACTGCTTTCTTATGTCATATTAGGGAGGTTGCGCATAGAGAAGGCCAGCAAAGAGAGATTTCCTGCTACTCACAGACTAAAAACCATACAAATGCTCCATTCAGAACCGATTTCAAAGCCAGCACTTATGACAATCTCAACTTCACAGTAGGGACATTCAATCCAGCGAGTGCCTCCTGCATTAAACATCAAGGATGCATAGTGCCTACTATAGACACTATAGAGGGATAAAAAATGGTCCTTGCCAATTGCTCCGGATCACAACTGCAACTTTCATCTGGAATGCTCCCCACTGTCAAAAATCTTCCAACAATACTGGGTTCACATACAACAAAAGGTTACAACATAGCACCTATGAAATTGGACCCTTGCATGAGGCTGTGCCTTCAGGAAAGGAGAGGGTGGGAGCGCGCGCAGAGAAACAAAGAGACAAAACTGAGAGGTCGGGGTATCTTGCTTGTAAAAGTACAAAGAACAGCAAAACTCACTCACAACACTTTTGCTCTGTCCCTACAACGAGGTCTGGATTTGAGACCACAATTCCTTTACCAACATTTTTAATTACCTGCTCTGCATTTCCAAAGAATCCATACTATTACAAAGTCAATGCCTGAACTATAATTTAATCAAAACCATAACAGATTTTATACCGTGGGCCAGTAATGGGTTTCCAGTCTGGTTTACTACGACTGACCACTGGCCAAGACAAAAACAAAACCTATCCTGCAAATACCTCAGCGGTATTCGTATTAGAAGCCTTGGTCAATGGCAAACAATGGTTGATAATCACCTAGGAAAGTTTCATTTACAAAAAGCCCTCCATTGACAAAATCTAAAAAAAAACTGCACAATATACTGCAGAAATCACAGAATTCATGTAAATGTAAAGCTACAATTTCCCCAAAGAACCTTTTCCCACCCTCCACAGAATTAATACGTTAGCAGTCAGGATTTGTTTGGTAGATCTATCAAAGTAAGATCCATGATCAGAATGTCCATGCTTCAAGTATTCCATGGCTTTAGATATCCAATCTTATTGCTGATCACCAGCAATACAGCATGGAAAGAGAGCAAAAAGCAGTAATCACTATCACTGGTAAACAATCTGTGCAACTCTAAATCTCTTCTTCTCTTCCCACACCACATCCAAAATTAATCATTTATTCAGCAGGTGTAATTACTGACACAGTTCCTTCCTTCAAGTGAAAATTAACAAAGGTACCACTGGAGACACAACCTTCAAACCAGGAGTTAGGGATCTCATTCTCAAATCTCAAAGTATTATCAATTGTCACAAATAGCAGAGCAAAAAACAAAGCACGTGATTAAAATTTGCACGCTGCATATCTTTTTAACCAAAAATGATACTTCCATGGTGTTGAAATAGAAACAATCAACACACATTTTAGCCTCTGCAAATTCACCTGAAAGGAATATTGACAAGTATCAGTGTGTCTGTCCTACTTGTGCCAAACACGAGAGAGATGATACAATACATGGGTAAAATATTCCCCACTCCTCTCATTAATAAGATGAACAACAAGAAAGTATGTTGCAATGTCTACATGTCCCTGTCAGCTATATTATTTGTACAAAGTGCTGAGAAATGTCTGCGGTTTTTTTTCTAAGCAATCTAGTTACAATTTTACTTTGCCTGCTTCAATTCCAGGGATTGGTACCAAGCAGTCGATTGACATTGTTTGATAAGTAAGATTTTGTGTGATCCCATGAGAACTGCTATCCACAGGAGTTTCAGAGAACAGAGGAGTTGATATAATTGTATAAAAGCAGCTTGGTGCCCAAAGCTCTTGTGCTATAGTAGAAAAGCTACTGCCACTGATAATTGGCATCTTCCTTCATAAAGATAAATTCAGGGCTCATTTTCGCAAATAAAGGAAAATGATAGCACTGAACAATATGACATTAGTGCTTTTGAAAATTCTCAAGACTGCCTCAAGAGAAAATTTTGGTCAAACACGGGGCCACTGGCCCAACACTCGTCACACTCAAGTGACAAGCGAGAAGCAAAAATTGTACATTAAATACATTGGAAGTGGTTATAATGAAGTACTACAGAGATATATTTCTACTCTTAGTATGTGAAATGAAGTGAATAGGAATTTCTGCTCTGGTGATCATCAAACCAAAGACAAAAATACAGCATTAAAGTCCAGCAGATCACTAAGTGTAATTAGCTTTTGGTCCCAAACCATTAAATGTACGGAAAGAACTATCAGCTCTGCTCTGCACTGCATCAAAGTGTACCAGCGCGGTGGCACAGTTCAACATAGACTGCTCCTCTCCTCCCGTTCTCCGTGTGCACAACCATTAACATCATTCTTGAAACTAAAGGTGAAGTTATTTGCCGTGACTTGTGCAAATGGATTACTGTAGAAGAAGTTGCCCTCAAGAGGGACACCGTGGTCTGAATCCCATGACCCGGACCCGCTGCTGGTAGAATCCTCAGTGGTGGTGGGGGGGTAACTCAAATGCTCAAACTGATCAATCACATCGCCGAACTGAAGCGCGGAGCTGGATTCAGAGCGCACTGAATAGGTGGGGAAATTCACCATTGAACTGGCTTCAGACTGATTGGCCGAGTTGGCCATCCTGAACGATGCCGTTTCAGACAAACCGTTTAGCCCAAGGTTTGTCAGTGAGCTGCTCTGTGACCGGTTGTTCACTAGAGAACTGGTTTCAGATCTGCTGAAGTGCCCATGCATCCGATTGACTTGTTCCTTCACTTCAAAAAGGTCAGCCGTGTTGATTGCTCGGCCGTTGCCATTGAAGTCGCTCCCACCCTCAAATTCAAAGTCTTCGTCTGAACCCACCTCCACATTATTATTGCCATACTTACGTGAGCTCCAGATTTGCTTGCTAAGGTTGGAGTTTATCGTTGGTGGATGGTCTTGCTCATTGTAACATGCAAGACCATTCAAGCTATTCCCTAGCCCACTGTAACACGGTGAAAATGCTTCCGACCCGCCCGCAAAAAAAGAAATCTCAGCAGGATCATCATCAATGAACTCTTCCGTGAGTTGCAACTGAGCGTTTGTCAATGTGAAAACTGGCATTGCCCTTCCCCGAAGCTGGCTAACATTATACTCATTTTCAGTAATAAATATACCTCTGGTATAATCATCCTCATCATTGTCATTTTTCTGAGTGGGCCTGCCCTCACTGTAATCCTCTCTAGCCACACTACTACCCTCATCACAAACCGAAGAGCAGGGGCTGCAGCTGGCTGCAACTTCAGCAACAGAACCTTGCAAGGAGACTGAAGAGGGATGGTCAGAATTCTTCTTCCACGCCTGTTCAAACACTGGACTCATCTTCACTTCTGCTGGGGACCTCTGGGCGGTCTTGTCAAGGAGCACTCTTGCATTATCAGGATGGACGGGCTGATGATCAGCGGCACTTTTATACGTAGACTGGATGGACTGGAAGGAGATGGTCGCTGAGGAAGGGGACCCCGGGACTTCTAAACACTCAGTAACTGATAAACTCTGGAAGAGAAATAAATAAATCAACAGTCACGTTTGGACACTATAAATAGCTTTGAAGTTGGTGCGAAGTAAAATGTATTTTCTGCTTCAGTATTTGGATATTACAGTAAACAAATTAGCCTAATAAAACATGCCCTTAAATTTCTTTATCGATGAACAGCAGGACCTGGAACAGAAAATAATTGGACGAGAAATATGTCATGAGATTCCATAGCACCTCCACAAACAAGAAGTTGATGTGTAAATTTGGGGGGGAGGGGGGGTTTGATGAAATGAAACACACAAGATTAGCAGGAACAATACAACCACTTTAAACAGCTCCCAAACCAGAAGATCATTGGAGAGGTCAGGCCCAGGATTATTTACCGCTCAGCCTAGATTGCCTCAACTGTATGGGTTTTGCCAAGCCAGGATGGGAATGCCACGTGCAAAGGAGGCATCTGCCCATCTCAGGAAGGGGAAGGGGGAAACAAGAGGGAGAAGAGAAAGACCAAGCATACTTCCACTATCTCATTCACAGCTAATGTGTTAGAGTGGCACCAACAGTAATTGTGTAAGTGTCTGCTACCTATGGGGCTTCACACTCTCAGTGGTAGGAGAATATGATCAGGAAGTCTCCTGCAATTATTTTTATGAAAAAGAGAGAACGATCCACATAATAAGCTGTTAAATAAGAACTTCACTGACACAACACACTGACGCACATTCCAATGATAAAGTGCCGCAGGACTAACCTGTTTGGGCACGTCTGCGCTCAAATTCCGAGGCGAGACTTGTGCTCTGCCGTGCCGCCTGCAGAACAGAGAGTATTTAGTAAGGATGTGAGAAAGAAACCCCTGCACCAGACAGACAGCAATGCTGCACTCAACAGACACTTGCACAGAGAACGAGCGGGGAGTGGGCAATGAAGGAAAGTGCACCCACAAGACAATGCAGCACATCCAAAATAAAAATAGGGGAGCATTAATGCATGCGAGACATGAGACACTGCAACACATTTGAAATAAAAATAGGAGAGAGAGAATACAAAGTGAGGCGCAGAAAGGAGACCCTATACCGTACTCAAATTCACACATTGGTCATGATTGCAATGTGAATTGAGGGAGTTTATACAGAAGCAAAAGTCAAGCAGTTTTTTTTATAGATTACCTAAAGCCTGAGACTCAATCAAACTCAATACAATTATTAAATTTCTTGGATATTATTTTACAGAAGTTTTTATTCAACAAACTTTTAAAACTAGTCACCAATACTGCACTCCCAATTCTGTAACCATTCCCAGTGTGCCTCAAAGAGCACAAAATCACCAGACACACAAGAGTAGAATTATCTAAACATACCATCAATGCTGAACAATTACACCATTGTGTTATTAATGGTATGTCACTTATTTAAAGCAGCCAATTCGGTACTGACTATATCATATTTAATACACGCACAATAATACTATAGTGGTTAAGGAGTAAATATTGAACCCAACATACGCATGTAATTATTAAACTTTGATCAATAGCCCCTTAATTGTACAATTAAGGTAGTGCACAATATATATGTACTAACAACACAACACAGCTGCACAGACAACAGCACTGCCCTGTCTGCTTTCAATGAGCTAACTACAGACCTTCGCCTAACATGTGGAAGTGGGGGTGCTGGGGGGGTGGGGGGGGAGAGAGAAGAAACGGGAAGGCATTGAAAACGTGTTCCTGTTATTGTATTGGTGGCAACAAAAATGGTGAGCACAAAGCAAGACAATTCCGAAGTGTTAGAGAGAATGCAAATCCCCACAGGATTCTATGGCAAGTTAACAATTCAAATGACAAAAAAAAAAATCAAATTAGGCAAGGAAAACAGTAAATCACATTCATAGCAGTAATAATATATTACATTCCATTATCATCTATCAAATCTGAATTGATAGTTGAATTCCAGTGGAAGTATTAACTGTGGCAAGTGACAATAATATTCAAAGACCCCAAGTTAATAGTGTTTTCATGAAGGTGTAAAGTACACAAATATTGCTGGGTTATGTGCTAGTGTCTGTTGAGAAGAAAATTCAGCCCTATTTCCAGCTGGTCCGAACTGAATGGACGTTAAGTAAACAAGGTGAGGGTTGAAGCACTCCCAGAGGCAGGGATCGGCGAGTGGCCATTGATAAAAAGGGTTTTAAGTGAAGAGGAATAAAACATAACCAGGAAACGACTTTCATTCATGTCAACAATCGCCATGACAAAAATCCTCCCCATCAATGCAGAACAATGAGGGCTAGTGGCGAGTCTTTGTCCAGCTCTTTGGAATGGCCTCCTGATGTATTTGTTATGTAAATGTAATGTGTTGTTATTGTGGTTACAGATACTAAGAGATTACTAGTTTAGACAAGCAAGCATTAAGAGCTCCATAATTATATTGGGTAGGGAGTGGGGGTGGAGTGGGAGTTCCATTTGTGCCAAGTAGGTATATGTTAATGTTAAGTTCCTGGTCATATTTTTAAAAACTCAAATGTATAACCAAACATAAGCACAATTTTGTTTTACAAAAAAAACCTTGATTTCCAGCACAGAGGAAGTCGTTAAAACCAATGCCACCCTCTGTAAATATCACCAGATGAAAACAAACTGTAATACAACAATAAAGTCAGCCTTCCAAATACAAAACAAGACATACCTCTGATAAGGAGTTGCCTTAACCACACTCTCCCGCATGTAATCAACGAGCTGCTTCTGTGTCCGACCGCTATGGAGAAATAACAACAGATTAAGCACCATTTTATCAGTTGATTTATGAGTATGAATCTAGTTTTAAAGCCACAACAAATTAATCTGTAGGCTGGTCACTTGAGTGCAAACTTATTCATTCCCTAGTGATCCATTATAAGAGTCTTAGCAGCCTATGTCTGAGCAGCATTGGAAGCAGTATTACCCATAAGTCTACTGCAGTATTGCCTGCAAGTCTCTTACTCTCTTGGCAGTGCAGGAAGACTAGAGGAAATAAAAGTGTCTCAGAAAGATACAGTAAAAGTTAAACACAAGTTATTAATGGCCTAAATGAAGCAAGAGTGCACATATCAAATAAAGCCTAAGAATAGTGCACATCCTAACTGCTCTCCTGGTGTGCCAGTGCAAAGATTAGTACCACATTGATGTAGGATCACATTCAGTCAAGCAGAAAGCAAATATTTCATGATACAGGGGAAAGAAATTGAAGCAATTAGGTAATGGAATATGCCTCCCAGGAGTTGATTTCAGGATAGTATTAGTCAAGATCTGGCAGCAGATAGCTGTCTGGGCTATCTATGGAGATTTTCGAGAAAAGAAAAGGGAAGAAAAGGAGTTAAGTCTTCCTATTTTTAGTTTTCCACACTTACACAGCCTGAGGCAATCCTGAAGTGCAACATTTCAGTAAAGACTCAGAATTCCCCCTTATCTCTGTACAAATACTCCTTGATTTATTCAAATCTGCTTCAACTGTTCCAGCTTTTATCCATAACCATAACTTCCTACATCAAATTTCCTAACTTGATATGCTTCCAAGGCCTATTCACCAAAGTAATGTTATACTGTACTTTTATCAACTACACGGATAGAATGGTAAATCTCTGGTAAAAGGATAACATCAGGAAACAACAGCAAGTTTAAAAAAAACTTGAACAACCTAAACTTTAACAACTAAATAAGCATGAAACAAACTGGTACCCAGATAGTGACAGAATAGTGTTGTTATAGACTTGAAAGTGCACTTTACCTGTATCGGAATGAGGAGCCTCTGCTGAGGAAAACAGGTTTGGCCTTTGCTTTCGGTTGGTCCATGAGTCTGAAGAAGGTGTGGTATTCAACACAGTTCTTCCAGAAAATCTTACATAGATCACGGTCTCCCAGCAGAAACTCTAGAGTATCCTGGTATGGACCCTGGAATTGGATAACACTATAATCAATACCGCTCTGAATTTCTCTATTGTAAATGCAGTGTTCATAAGAGTTTCATAGAGTGATACGCACAGAAGCAGGCCATTTGGCCCATCTAATGCACACCAGTGTTTATACTCCACACAAACTCCCATCCCTCTGATTGCCTTCCCCCACACCCCTCTATTCCCCTCTCCCTCGTGTATGCATCAAATTTTGTCTTAAATCCATTGTTATTTGCTTGAACCAGTTTCCAATATTCTTATCGCACACTGCAAGAAGTTCCACTTAATCGCTTTACACCATTTTCCACTACTGAGACCATTTTGACACATTTACCAATCTATCACACACCAAAAAGAGTTACTGAACCATTCTATCATAATCAGTTTGTATATTAAGGATACGGAAATTCAAGGCTATGATGGTCACTGGTCTTGGGAGACTTTAGCAAGGCTTCAAGGAACAGGTGCACCCATGGAACAGTACCAGTCAGCCAACATCATAAGTTCAATTAGGAATGAGTCAGCTCCTGATTTTTGGTATACTGAGTTCCAAATGTATTGGTCAGAACTACATTATCATGCCATCAGATGAATCACCCACACGCTTCCCACCGCACAGACAACTCCAGGCAAAAATAAAGACAATGAACTGCTTCTAAAACTCCAAACCGTACATGAACTTCTGGATGCAGCTTGATGAGAAATCTTTTCCTCTTGAAACTAAGTTTCCGAATTTTTGACCAGTTGAAGGTGTTGATTTTTACATTGCCCTGGAATAAAAGTAACAACTTGCATTTATATAGCACCTTTTACATACAAATAAAAGTCTTGAAGCACATTACAAATCACATTTGACTAGAAATGTCTCCGAGTGGAAGACAATATGTTTCCTAGCCATGTATAAATAGGGCCATAATTAATACCAATGTTATATTTAATCCGAAGACTGCATGCTTACCTGAAAGACCAGCACTCCCATATGCGCGACAGACAGGTTGATTTTAGTTCCTTCCCTGTCAGAGGCTGGATGAAACCGAATTCCATACATTTCAAGTTTCCTTGCTATCTCTAACACCTGGAAATCAGACTCTGCAGGGGTATGGCCCCTAAAATATAAGGACAATACACAATCATTCAGACCTCAGCTCTGATCGCTCTGGTACCCTCATACTTCTGAAGTGCCCAAACCCATGCTTTGAGGATTAATGCAGTCATCTGTGCTTATAAAATAGGTCCAGAATGACCCTGGGAATCTGCAGTGTCCTATCTGCCTTTCCATTTCTGTGGAGTGTAGTTATAGTGAATTGTATGTAGACAAACGGAACCTGGGGACGTAATATAGGGAAATTGGATCTGCACCCACTGCTGTCATGGCACAAGTTGGTATTTAAAGTACCACAGCGGTAACTTTTATTTAAAAAAAATTGATCTCTTTCCCAGTGACTCAGTAAAGCAAAGACTATGTGCCACAAAGTGCAGTACTGAGCAATTCATTATTCAATTCGTAGTCTGTGGGATTAGCTGATACTCCAATAGGGTAAGGCTGCTGCAATTAATTTGTATTTGATTGGGCAGCAATGAGAGGTTTGCAATTATGTTGCCAATGTGCCACACAAATCTATAATAAACAGGAGAATCTGCCAATTATTGAAAGAATGGCCTTCTCACGGTGGCAGAATGATCCAGTATGGAAGTACCGTATGATACTGCTAAAAACACAAGGCTAATGGGTTGAGAACAAAACAGAGGGTTTCCACTTGATAGGCAAAGGCAGAGAACAAACATCTGCTTTGGACGACTGATACTCACATGTGTTTCCTGTGGAATTCCATGATCTTTTCCTGTAACTTTTCCTGATTTGGCAAGAGTGTGTTTTCTTTCAGGTGCGCCCTATCTAGAGCTTCATCATAATCTCCGATTTCAGCTGAAAAGAAAGAGAAGGATTGCTTCAGTAATGCAAAGCATAAATACGTTCTGTGCATGAAAACATTTTTGCCCAAATAGGGATGTTGTTTGGTACAGGCCAGTGAAGGGCTCGGGGAACTTCAAAAACATTCTACAGAAAGGAAGCACAATTGTCTAAACTGACATTTTAGGGATGAACACAATACAATGACCATATTGTATTGTGTTCATCCCTAAAATGTCAGTTTAGACATTTAAACATGACCATAGCACAGTTCACCACTTAATGGAACCCGGTACGGGAACGGAGAAACCAGGGAAGAAAGTTCAGGGGAGCGATGAATATTTATTCTGCATCAAAATTGCTTCTATACACTGCTATGATACACTCCAATCAGAATCATCACTGCTTCCATTCCAACGTGACCGTGGCTCAGTTTGGTTATGGTACTCACATTGCAAGAGATGAGAGGTGAGAAGTGCTGCAGTGTTCTCATTACACATTAGTCTGCTCTCTGCTAGGTCCCGCTTAATCTGCAATGCAAACAAGTATCTGGAAAAAGAACAAAGTTACATGTGGACAACTGTCTGAACAAATGAAATGCCCTACCTCTCACACACTGAAGCAAACGGATTACAGTCTCAAAACCAACTTTAGATTCAAGATACCTCCAATCCCAATTATTACCTTGTGTATTCCTCTTGTAGTTGGCCTGGATCTGGGGGGAAGAACTTCACAGACAGTCTTAATATGGTGTTCTTTGGTCCTGTAAAGAAAGAAGGTAAAGAACACTAAAAATATAAAAAGGGCAAATAGTTCCCCTCAAGTAAACTGTTTGTGGTTCAACACCTGGATTTCATTTCCAATATGTTCTAGTATAAGCAGACTGAAAAATTGATTAGGTTGAAATGAAATAATCTGCGGTGGTTCCTTAAAGCAGCTGCATGGTCACCACCATCATAACTTCATTTAAATCAGCGCGCACACGCCAAAATAGGCTGCCGATTACGCAGTAAAATGATTTTTCAGTTTACAATGACATTCAATAAGACTTCCCAAAATAGAACCATTAGTTGCAATGCTCTATCCCCTCAGTTAGGAAACATAGTCCAGAGTTATTGACCTACAACATTGTCCAGAGTTATTGACCTATAGGGTGTTACCATCATGTTGTAGTGAATGCAATTAACATTTACTGTTAGCAGGTAAATCAAAACATGATCTGTGCTGCAACTTGCACTCCTGCCCATCATTACAGACAGTTTTGCAATCATTGCAGAAATTTACTTGCATGACTTTCCTACTATGCCCACACATCGCATTGTGTGGGACTACAAGAAGTCCTAAAATCAATTAATCAATAAGTCCCAAGAGCTTTTCTAACAAGATGTTTACTCGAGTGCAAATGAAAGAAAGCATTAATTGCTTTGGGCAAATCCCAGTGTATTCCACGATTAAAGGCACTTGGACAAACTTATCGTAATGCATCCTAATATTTATCGAGCTTTCTGGAGGCAAGTACACAAAATGATTGCTTGAGTCCTAATTTAACTGTTTTTGTAAGCAGCACAATTCTGGCAGCTTCTGTTACACTGACTGTCAAACTAAATCAAAGCCAGAGCAGTCTTGCTTACCAATGATTGAAAATATACTGTGATTCAGACTTATGCATGAACCTAGAAATAAATCCATACTTATCAGCTACAGCAACATTAGATACCTGATCCTTTAAACTATGTATGATCATTCATGAAACAAGTCTACAATTTGAGCTGGAACACAAAATATGAAGAAAATCATGTATCTAATGAACTGAACAAAAATATGTGGGTGGAGGGGAGGAAGTCAGGAGGAGAACAAGAAAATAGACACTTACTTTGGACTTGTTTCACAATAAGTTTTGCAGGCTCAAGCCAAATCTAAATGAAAGGAAAATATGAAGTAAATAAAATGTATGACGTTATTGAAAAGAAAATGGTCTAATAAAATTAAAACAGTAATTGTGTAGACTTCAGAAATGGTTTGGACTAACAGGAAAAGCACACACCAATACATGGCCAAAATGAAATTACCACTTGCAGCAAATGGCACTGAATGATTCTTCACCAATGGTATTGGACAGAAAGTGGAAGTAAGCAATAATTGGACAGTTAGTGTTAGAGCAAATCGCTCAGCAAAATAACTCACTCAATAATTGCTATTTATAACGTTCCTCTTCTACAAAAACTTCACAAAGTTTCACGTATCCTTGCAATAACAGATCAATCACACTCCCACAATGGCTTGGTGGATAAATGTGCATCACTGGGCTACACAGAGCAGAAGGTCACAAGCTCAGTCTCTGTTGTTAGCTGGGAGCACTAAAATGGGCATCAATGCATTTTAAGCCTAAAATTTCACCTATGACTATTTTGTGTTGAAAGTTAGGATCACATAGATTTGCGCAATCTTAATTTTTTTAAGACATAATGGTCACAGGCTGGAACTATGGTGAAATTTCATGCCTTTGGGCTGGGTGGGGGTGGGGTGGGAAGAGAGAAAGGAAAAAATAATGTTTCTGCCTGATGAAAACAGCATTAGTTTTGCCTTCAGTCAAATAACCTGCTGTGAAAAAGTCAACAGCAACTTGTATTTATTTAGCACCCTTCATGCGGGGGTGTCATCTCAGAGTCCTGAGTCTGAACTAATCGATAGTGAATTGCCACTTACACCAAATACTAGAGAGCAGGACCCCGGGAAGGATCAGAGTAGTGTATCAGGAGTGAAAGAGGAGGAAAACTGTCAAAAAAAAGAAAAAGATATACTGCGTTACTCTACTCTGGTCACAGTGTTCTCCTTTTAGGCTGTGAAGTAGTACATTTATCTAGTCTGGACACTACCCGTCCACCTTACAAAGAATTCCTATATCCCTGGAACAAAACAATGCAAGATTAATACAAGTTTAATGCTCACTTTATTAGCTTTAGCATTTTCAAACCAGATAAGAGATTCAACATTATTCTCATCGTTTAACTGGATACTCACTCCAGCAACAGCCAGTGCCAGGGCAAAAGTCTCGGCTTTGATTCATTGTGTAAAATCTAATTGTTGCTTACAATCGACGCCAATTGGCAACAAAGAGACGATCCATTAATGCTGAATTGCATTCTCCAGCCACTGCTAAACTTGGCAGCAAATCCATAGTCACAAAGCCAACGTGCCATCGAAGTCAAGAGGCATCAGCCATCAGCTCCACACTTAAAAGGTAGATATCGTCAAATCAGCTGTCTTTTAGCAAAAGGCATGCAGGATTCTGACATTATTACCACAGCAAAAAAGTGTATTCAAAACAGAAGCAAAGCGTGCCTCCTATATGTCACATCCCACTGCTCTCCATTTCTGACAAACTCATTATTGACGTTAGGGACATGCGATAGTTACCAACGCTGCCAATTTTCAGATGTAGAACAACCAGCACAACTCTACTCACTCTGACGAGCAAGAGCAGACAAAACAATCTCTTCTTAGTAATGCAACAGCTCTAAACCAGCTTTGCTGAGCTAATCTATTAACTGCAACCCAATTTTAATCTTAGTTCTTAGCCTATTCTTCGAAAAAGGGGTGAATTCCTCAACACAAATACCTTATCCATTATAGCCAAAACTACAGCTGAAACTGTAAAAATGGAGCAAGAGACTATGGAAAAAGGGATGTGGGCCAAAACCTCAAAAAATGTTCTTTTCTTCCCTCTGCAATTAGCTGCTCATGCTGAGATTATTTGCGAGTCAATTTAACCCCATATCACCACAGCTGAAAAAGCAATCCTGACTTCCTGCACAGCTTGTACACCTATATGCTGTTTTTTTATGTAACTTGTTAAATACTGTAGCTCAATAGTAGAATGAAAGGCGTTTCTTTCATAAAGGATTTCATTGAGATCCTGGAAGGAGGGAATTGTACAAGTCAAGCCCATTTCCATGCAAATATACAACATGTACATTAATCTTCCCACACATTATATTTAAATCTTACCTTGCCTAATGCACTGTTCTCTTATCTGGCAGTGAGTGGAGATATTATAATCTACAGAAATGTTTCAGTTCTGCAATACACAGACAGGAAATGTTGAACCTAATGCTTAAGGAATATTAATATCTGTAAGATCCAACGCAGTGGAAAGGTCTCAGCCAACAATACACCTCAAAAGAAACACAGAGAAGCAGCTTTCATTTCCCCATCCATTTCCAACTACCAAAATATCATTTTATAAGCCAGCCACGATTGTTGGCTCTCGGTGAGATTACCAAATTCTGCTGAATGACTGGAACTTTAGGCATTCGTGTCCACTGGGAACTGGACAGGCCAGCCTCAAACTCAGTTTGTGTAGAATCCTTACCCCACAAGAAAGAATGACTTTTATCCCAACAATTTGGTCTGAATTTGAACTCAGGCAGCCTGGTGACCTGGAAGTCGAACATGTGTTAGTGCCCAGCTGGTCGCAGGACCACAGGGACCCATGTTACACAGCAGGGCTCCACTGTAATCTACTGTAATCTGACCATATTGAACCCAATTTAACAAAACTGCATCTGAAGAAATCACGAGTTAGCATCTTACTAATGCAAATAACATTCAGTACAAATAGCCAACACAAAATAGCAATTGCTGCCAAATGTAACGCATGAGGTAAATGCACTAATAATAATATAACTTGATATAACTCCTATAGTGCCTGTCACGTAGGAAAAAATCTCGAAGAACTTCACAGAGAAAGAGCAGGAGCCCAGCAGCATGGGAGTTAGGAGGGAGGTAACTGAAGCAGGATGGAGAGAGGGGGTGGGGTGGGGGTGAGTTTGTCGTACACATTAAAGGAAGGCAGGAAGCAACAATATTGCTTGAACTATTATGGATAATCTGGAAGTATTAAATTACATGACGTTCAAGGGAGGAAATGACAAGCTGTGCTCCTGACACAGCATATTATAATATAGAGGCACCCCGGCAAGTGATATTCAAGCTTCCAACATAGTCTTTTGCGCTCTGACTCAAGACAAAGTTTACACTGAAATGGGTTCACTAAGAACACCTGCTCGACATACATCAGCAAGTGTCAAGTATTCATACCTAAACTTTGCTGAAGTACATACTCGCATGCACACACAACTGTCAGTTGTTGCAAGACAACTGGAGTTTAAAGATATGAAGCTTCAACTGTTTTCACCAGAACAGAGGAGGTTAAGAGAGATCTTTAAAATTCAGGATCGTTACTGAAAGAGTTAAGGGGAAGGTTAGGGGTAGAAAATATGAAGAAATGTCTTCATACTTAAGAGTCAATAAACATGAATGCTTTGGGATATTGGATAAGTATTTGAAGATAAACAATATAAGACGGTGCGGAAAAAGAGCAGGGAATTGGAATTAGACCAGAATTTGCTCTACAGCACACGCTGAAGACAAGAGCATCCACCTGCCTGCCCACATTGGATTGATTATAGGGACAGATGTCGCAAACAAGCAACAGTCACAAGAATCTTCAGAGTCCCAGACATATTGAGCTGAATAGTTTTTACATTCTGTACACAGTTGGCCATTGCTGCTCACATGCAATGACAAGATACAATTTGGGGTTTGGGGTGCAGCTGCTATTATCTACCGCAGTCCTGCGTGAACACTGAAGCTCATATACATACCTCATTCCCCAGGCTGTTCTGGAATTCCAGGCCAAAGTAATCACTTTCGGTGAGGTTGAGACGCAGAAAAACTTCATTCATCAGAGACTCACCATAGGCCTTTTGCTGTGGGGGCAGAAACAAATGATCATAAGCAAAAGCCATTTGAGCTGCCTAACTACTTTCAGGTTAAAGCATCTCCTCCAACCCCAGCCCAAAATGGAATGGTCGACAAGGGATCCACTTGTGAATCCCCATATTCATAAAATAAAGAATTCAAAGGAGTATTTTCAGATAGAATACAATGTAATAATAATAAAATAATAATCCTTGCATCTGTTGTTGTCCTAGGTTTGAGTTAAAATCTCTAACGTCATTCTTGAACGGTGAGCAGTCCAACAAGGTGAACTGTCAAATGCAAAAAAGTAGTGCTAACCGCATTTAGTTTGTTTGTTCAGAATAACTGCTTTCTTTTTAGCCGGTTTTCTATAAAATTTACTTCTCTGAAACAATATGCAGGCTCCTTGACACAAACGTGAGCCATTAAATAGAGCAAAGCACAGTGTAAAACTACTCTCTTAAAAATACCCATCCTCTACATTAAAATAAAGGTCAAAGGCAAAGCTAAAGGCTAATAAAATTGGATTCCTCTGCAGGAGCTTCCCAAACATTTAACTTGTTATATGCATTAAAATTTAGTTTTAAAATCCCCAGATTTAGTTTAAGTTAAATCTAAATTTAAGTACAGTCATACAGTGATATACAGTCTGTACTGAAGGAAACCAGCTTAGTTGTGTTTATCTGAGTAAAAACAGGATTTACAGTATTTGCATGCCTGTCTGGATGTGCTCTGAAATCTGCCGTGCAGTGTGGATAGGAATGAATGCATAGCAGCAGGAGCAGACTAGGAGACTATACAATTGCTTCTATTTCAAGATGTTCTCCAACATACAAATGGGAAAAAGTAGCATTTTAAGTGACAAGTTAGTCTGTTCAAAACATCTGGGAAACCTTATTACCCAAACTTAAAAGATCAATGCTTAATTCGATCTGGTCCATCTGTGAATGTTATAATCTCTGCAACTCAGATTTAGAGGAAGTCTTCTGCTCTTTGAATTAATGACATCAGCGTGCCAATAGCAATGTTTAAATCAAACTTTTTTTTGCCACACAAAATCATTCTTCCAAACTGCAGCCTCAAACAGAGAAGCACATTCAGAAAATGTGAAAAAAAGCCTGACATTTAGAAAAACAATCTTTTCATTTGTTATAGTGCCGTATCACGTCAAAATGTCTCAAAGCGCTTCACAGAGGTTTGGATGGTGTAGTGACTGTATTTGTAGGAGAAATGCCATTCTTTATTCCCCTCTCAATTCACATTGACATTAATACAAAAAATTGCTTCAAAAGGCAAACTAGACCAGAAATGCAGTAGGGCAAGGAAAACATGCATATAACCAGCCAATCTTAAAAAGTCCAATTTAAAATTAAAGCCTACACTTCCAACAGGAGTTTTGAAAAAAATTTGAATGTAAAGATGTGGTAAGAAATTATTTTTTAAATTACTTTTTATTTGAAAAGTAGAACATTTGGGTGATTGTTGTAGCACCTTCAAATTAATCCCTTGAGAGAAGGAAGGCCAAATTACTCTACCTGCAGCAGGAGAGACCAAGATTGAAAAGGTAGCAAATATTTAATTTTCCATGACAGCTTGAGCATTCAACACATTTAATTTTCCATTACAGGAATTACAGCAGATGACTGAAGGCAGTCCAGACCATCTGTTATATCCCTCTCCGTCTCTCAGGCAGTCCAGCTTCTGGATGGGTTTAAGGTCCATAGTGCACCTATCTGTCCACATGGTAATCCCCATATGCTCTCAGGTCAGGAGTACAGCTATCCTCCTGGCAGACAGGCGAACATCATTGAAAGCTGTGGGCTTGATCCACTTCATCTTTTTCCAGCTGGCTTAGTTGCTATAATCTGCCCCAGGCTTTCGCAATGCCGCAAATCCAGTGACACACCATAATCCTTTGTCAACATAAATTGAAACAACGCCACATTATCATTCAATAGCACTCAGACACAGTCAGAATTTAAGAAAAGTGTACACAAACTTCTAACAGGTACAAGGTAACTCTTGCTTATGCGTTACTAGGTCACTCACTCCTAACAGCAATTTAGTATTTTATGGCAGGAGCAAGCATTGCCTTTCTAATGACAGACAAGTTCTACCTGAAATTTTGTGGAACATTATTAACCAATATTGGGATCCCAGTCAATCCTGTCGTTTTATTAGTTTGGCTTGTGTCATCGTAGCAAACATTTCTTACTTCTGGTAAGAATTGTCAGCAAACGTCATAAGTGTAGGGACGCACAAGGAGGTGCAGTGAGGACGGAATAGCAGTGGAAGATACGCTCCGCTCCTCATTATTGCTGATTATTGCGAGTGTTTTTAAATCACCCGTGATCAAGAAAACCATTTGAAATAATGAGCGCAACGTCTCAACAACCATTAAGAAACGTTTCAGGAAATGGAACAAAAACTAAGCGGATAAGCAAGAGCAGGAAAGGTTAGATTAGACTTGTCTAGCCTCAAGCTAGGAACTCCAAACATACTTCGACAATGAAGCATTGTGCTGAACAGCAGCATTAGTGCAGTTCAAACAACGTACCATTTGAGGATTGGCATTTAATTAATCGTGGAATGCAGTTCCAACAGAACAGTTAAGAATTCAATGTTAAGAATTTCTTTGATAAAAAGTGGAGGTCAGAGATTAACTGCAGATCTTCGTTTGAAGCAAACTGAAATGTGGAAACTAGACGTGTGCCTCTCCTAACACACAAACACAGTCAAAATATGTAAGTATCAGGCTCAAGATAAGATAAGTACCTCTGTTGTACATCCCTCACCCAGCCACCCCACAGCTGTCACTATTCCTAATCCAGTCTCTACTCCCTCACCCCACACCCCATCTATCCTCTTTCCCCAACCTATTCATCCTCTACAGCCCCGCTCCCCCCCAATCAATTTATCCTCTACACCCCGTCTCGCCCCCCCCCCCCCATCTATCCTCTACCCTCCAATCTATCCTTTGCTGTTTCCCTCAAACCTGTCCAGTGAGTAAGGAAATGTGATCATCAAAACTTAAATTATAATCAATAATAATCCTTGCAAGAATGGTTCGAATAGACCGAAGGTTAGGTTGCTAATTTAGCTGTTAGCCTCAAGATTATACAAGGAAAAGTTTGTGACAACAACCTCGTGTGGATGGAAACCAGAAGCCCTTTGTTTTACTCATCGTTTAATACTAATGGACCAATGGAACATAATCTGTGTTTATTATTCTTGTGCAGAAGACAATTCAACAGCTTTCATTAGGTTCACAATAAGTGAACTGTTATTGACACCTCACAGACTACACACAATATCCCTCAGTCGGTTTCAGATAACCCATTCACACTAACGCACACAATTGCCGTTGACCTCCCACAAAGGATGAAAAAACAAAGTCCACAAAAATGCCAAGTCTACATTGAACTGATCCCCCCAACCTTGTTCTGATGCAGGGCCTTGTGAAGATAAGTAGTCTACTATGCAAAGTGGTTTGAAGGTGCTTTTACACAAATACACGCAAAAGAGCATGGTGGCTGTACAAGCACCCAAAAAAAATGGCAATTTTAAATTGAAGAGCACTCACCCCTTAGGCCACCAAGGCCATCAATGTATTAGTGGGTGTACTGAGCTGCAGTACAATCACGCTGCACATTTCGGAATTCTTCTGAAATATTTTATGAATAGTCTCAAGTCATGTGAGCAATTTAAACATTTGTGTCAGTAAATTTGCCAATTTTAAACAGCATTGCTCCTTCTGAACGCAATGCTTGAACAAAAGAATTCATGCGACAGTCTGCCTCCCACCACTTTCTCACGCACTGTATTCTCCCAGTTCAGCTCTGATGAAGGAGGTGCAATTTTAAATGGAAATATGAATCCACCCAATTTCAGGATGCCGGAAAATCTCCACCTATTTACTACAATATCCACTAATGTGTACTCTTCAACCTAATCCATTTGGAAAATATATCTCTGGAGAAATTCAAATTTAATCTAAAGTCTCCAAACAAGTCGCCACCACAAAAATGTTAATTATATCATGGACCCACTTCTCTTCAATGTTTGATGCAATATATACAGCGGAGGACACTGGAGGGCCATTTGAGATGGAAGCTGGTCTGCTGCCTACTGAGCCTGCAAATTAGTGTTCTGATATCTGCCAGATTCACATCAGCAGCAACGCACTAGCATGCGGGTAAGAAGCAGCTTGTCCCAGAGGAACCTGAATCTAGCTGCAATGCTATTTCACAAATTTGATAAAGCCATATTCCATCAGAGCAGTTATACCCTTAGTCTTTACATGGACCATGTCACCACTTGAATGTTCCATTACAAATGTCGGTCTTATATAGTTCTGGTAATGATTACATTCAAACACTAAATTTCTCTTTTCCCTCCGCGCAGCAAGAGGTTAGCTTCTGAACCCATCGCACTTATACCAAGTATTGTGTCCCGGCATTCTGTACTTAGCATTCTTGCTATTGTAACATAATGGCTGGGGAAAGGTGGTTGAGGGAGAGGGAAAGAGCTCTGCTTTTGGAGTGCTGGTGGAAGCAATACAGAAACATTTGGCAGCACAGCAGAATTCCTATTGCTCACAAGTTTTGGAACAGCGCCTGCAGAGCCTGATTTCTGTGGTTTGCAGAGACTTGTACTTTCTCTCTCAGAACCAATTGTTTCGAGAACAATATTAAAAGAGAGAAGCAGTGAAACACTAGGAGATAAAGGGTTATCAACAGCAATAGACAAGAGGTGAAGATGATTGGCGGCATACCCTGCGAGGAACACTTAGTTGGTTTTGCAATTCTTTGCTAAATTTGAATGTGGTCAAAATTAAATTACATAAAGTATTACGATCTTAAAATTAGACTCAAGCAAGTTACAAATGAGATCAGACAAAATTTCTTCACACAGAGGGTTGCTAAAATGTGCAATACATTGCCCCAGAAGGCCAACATCAGTCCGGCTGTTTATACCCCTGAATGCCCTTATGTCCCAAGTTTCTTTT